GTGGCTGCTGAGCCAGCCCCGTGCCTGCTGTCCCTGGCCACCTTCACAGCACAAACTGGGACAAGGGGCCGTGGCGAGATCTGGGGACCCTGCACCCTGAGGAGCTGTCACTGGCATCTGGGGTGGGTTGGGATGAAGGTTGCATCCGAATCAGGTCAGGCTCTGGAGGGGCTGAGCAGCAGCACACCAGGGATCTGTATCCGTCAGCTCGCTGGATTCCTGCTCTGTCGAGGGCCCCTTTCTTATCGGCACTAATCCAGCGCAGCAGCTGCAGCAGCTCTGTAGCACTCGGTGTTATCAGTGCTGTGCAGGGCACTGATAACCCCCTTCCCCTCCTGTGCCAGCACCGAGCCCTCTTCATGCTCCCGCACCATGTATGGCCACCGAGCTGCTGTCGGGGCGCGTCGTGACTGCCAGGCAGAAAGGACACCGGTGCTGACCCCGCGGTGCTCGGGCCCGTGAGGAGGTACCGTGTGTGCTGAGGGGCTCTGCCTTTGCGGAGCAGCGGTGCCTGGTGGTCCCAGCAGCGAGGGTGCCCAGCCCCACTGGGTGCAGCAGCAGCTCGGGGTGCGGAGATGTGTAGCCTGTGTCACAACCTGTGTCACAGCCAGGCTGGCATCCCCAGGGAAGGGTCCGTGCTCTGCCCAGGTGTGGTGGGACAGGGACAGGCTCAGCCACAGGCAGGGACCCAGGGGTGTCTGTGGTCTCTCCTTGCTGCCGCAGGTGAGCGTAGGGAGCCAGGGGGCAAGCGCAGCTGCGAGCTCATGTCCCACCAGAGCCACTGGCCTCATTGTCAGAATGTGCCATAATTGCTATGTTAATTGGGACAAATTAAAGTATGCTCTGGGTGAAGGGCACGGTATCGACCTTGATGGAGAGATCACAGCCCTCATGCTGGCCCCGTTGCCTGCAGTGCAGCCTTGAGATTGCACTGAGATCCATGCCAGGAGCAGAGCCAGCGTCGCAGAGGTGGTTGAACATATACCACAGAACCCTGCAAAAAAGACTGTCCATCTGTCTGTCTGTCTGTTCAAACCCTTCCCCTCCTTTGCACCTGCGAGCCACCATGTCCCAGTTGGGCTGGGCATAGCTATGGTACTGGGTATCATGGTCCCTGGGTATTTCCCAGGGCCAGCCTGGCTCCTTCTCCACACAGCCAGGTGTGGGCAGCCTGTTGTTCCCCCCGTGTACCCCAGCCCCATCACGGTGCCCTCCATCAGCCACCCGGGTGCTGAGCCTGCTTCTCCCCTCTCTCACAGCAGCCATGGAGGCGGTGGTGATCTTCCTGTGCTCCCTGCTCATGCCAGTGGCCGTGGCAAATGGTAGGTGACAAGCATCATGGGCACAGGAGCAGCCTGGGGGATGCAGGGGGCCCTCTGATCCAAGGGGCTGGCGTGGGGTGGGGGGCTGCAGGGGCTCACCTCACCCCCCTTGTCTGCTTCTTTCCAGTCACCACCCATGAGAAGGAGGAGGACGACCCCTTTAACTATGGTGAGCATCACCAGGCATGGGGATGGCTGTGCCAGGAGGGACTCCTGCGCACGTGTGATAGGGGGCAAAAGAGGCCACCCCTTCCCTGATCCCAGCAGAAGTGAGCCCCTCTGTCTCCTCCTGTAGATTACCAGAGCCTGAGGATCGGCGGGCTGGTGTTTGCCGTGGTCCTGTTCACTGTTGGCATTCTCCTCATACTCAGTAAGTTGGGGACCAGGCAGGCGCTGGGCATGGGGGCTGCTCTTGTGGGGTGAGCCATCGGGGAAAGGCCACAGCCCATCCCCACTTTGTCCATGCTCATGGCATTTCTCTCCCCTTGCAGGCAGGAGGTGCAGGTGCAGCTTCAACCAGAAGCCCAGGTGAGTGAGGGCAGCCTGGTGGGTACATCTTCCTTGGATGAGCCAGCACTCACCCTGACTCCCTCCTACAGCTGGCAGAATGCCTGGGCTCTGTGAGCTCCCCTTTGGGTGCCTGGTGGCCAAAGTAGAGGGGTCTCTTGCCAAAGCAATGCAGCTGTGCAGGCTCCCAGGGAACCTTCCTTGGCGTGCCCCTGTGCTCGCGGGCATCCCACCCCTGGGACGAGGTGCAGGTCCCACCCAGTCTCACTGTGCACCTCTTCTTGCAGAGCTCCAGGGGACGAGGAGGCTCAGGCTGAGAACCTCATCACCTCAAACGGTAAGGTCCCCCCTCCCACACCACGCGTGCTGTGCCGCTGCTTCTGCATCGTGCCCGTGGAGCACACAGCTCTGGGCTGATGC